AAGCCGGAAGTGGCGCTGTGACTCAAGTGGTAGAGCACTAGCCTTGAGCTGAAGAGCTGAGGGACAGCGCCCAAGCCCAGAGTTCAGGCCCCACGACCGGACCCCCCCCCCAAAAAAAAAAGGGAAGCATGGCTAGAAGTAATAGCAGACACCTGAAATTCTAGCACTCAGGATACTGAGGTAAAAGGATCATTAGTTCAAGGCCAGCCTAGGTTGTATAACAAGATCCTGTCACTTCAAACCAGGAAACTCAGTGGTAGAGCACTTGCATAGCATATATGTTAAGGCCCTGGATTTGATCCTCAGCACCAGATAAAAAAATAAAAGGAGATCTCCAATGTAAGAATGGTGAACAAAGAAATTGGCAAAAATGAAACAAACACAGGCTTCACAAAACAATAGCAATCATGTCTGCTGGAGGAATAGAAGAATTTAAGTGGCATTCTTTACACTGGGAGACACACAACCTTCAAGACAAATGAAGGCTCTCGGGAAGCACATGAGATTTTTTGAGAAACCAACTGCCCTATTTTCCACCATCCCTGTTGTCCCACTTAGAAAAGACAAACTTCTTGTTGTCTCCGGTACTACTTAGAATATGGTGCAATATTCCTGGGCCTAAAAGCATTCTGGGTTGCCAAGTAGAGAGACAATGTAAGCAGTTTTATTTATATAGAGAGACCTCAGGCTGGGAGGGTAGCTCGGTACTCAGCGGTAGATTGTTTTCCTAGAATGCATGAAAGCCTGGGTTTAATTCTCAGCACTGAAAAGAATAAAATACCTTGTATATCATTCCTGTCAAATGTCATATCAGTCCTGAGAAAGTAAAGCAAAGAGAACGTTAGGAAGAAATATTGAGTCTAGCAGTATTTTATTTCACCCAGTCAGCAAACTTGTGACACAGCTCCGTCTTTCTTATTGAGAAGTGAGATGTTGTTTGTAAAAATATAAAATGAAAGCTGACTTTTTCCAACAGAAGGTAAAATCTGTTTTGACGGCTTGCTTTGCCAATGAGGACTTTCTAGTTCCTTTATATGGGAGACATTTTCCATCATTAGAATTATCCCGAATGTGCAGCTACAAAAGTTCTGGCAAAATATATTTAAAGCAAAAGATTAAAACATATCAAAAAATATTGTGCAAATGTTGGCAAGGATGTGGACAAATTGGAACCTTTAGGCATTGCCAATGGGAATGTAAAATGGTGCAGCTGCTATGGAAAGTAATGCCAATTTCTCCAGGGAAAAAATATAAAATCAAACATAGAATTACCATTTGATCTAGCCAATTTCATTTCTAGGTATACACATGCAAGAGTTGAAAACAGTGACTCAGACATATCTGTAACACCAGTGTTTGTAGTAGTTATTCACAATAGCCCATCTTCATCAATGGATCAATAAAATGATGTGCATGCATACAATGGAGTTTTCAGGCTCAAACAGGAAGGGCATTCTGTGAACATGATACAATATGCATGAACCTCGTAGACATTATGGTAAGTGACAGAAGCCAGACACAAGAACAAATACAAAGCCCAGCACTGGTGGCTCATGTCTGTAATCCTTGCTACTCAGGAGGCTGAGATCTGAGGATTGCAGTTCAAAGCCAGCCTGGGCAGGAAAGTCTGTGAGACTCTTCAATTAATCACCAGAAAATTGGTAGTGACACTGTGGCTCAAGTGGTAGAGCACTAGCCTTGAGCTGAAGAAAAAAACTTCTGAAGATGATTGTGGTGATCTCTGGACAGCATTGTGAATGTACTTAATGCCTCTGAACTATAAAATGATGTTATGTCTACTTTACCAGTATATGAACATAATTTATATACATGTAGACACCCCTTTAGCCATCCTCCCGATGCCCTTTTTTGTTTTTTGTATTTGTTGGTTATGGGGCTTGAACTCTGGGCCTGAGCACTGTCCAAGCTCTTAAGCTCAAGGTAAAAGCCACAGCGCCACTTCCAGTTTTCTGGTGGATTATTGGAGATCAAAGTTTCACAGGCTAGGTGCCAGTGGCCCTCACCTATAATCCTAGCTACTCAGGCTGAAATCTGAGAATTGCGGTTCAAAGCCAGCCTGGGCAGGAAAGAGTGAAACGTGTATCTCCAGTAAACTACCAGAAAGCCAGAAGTGGCACTATGGTTCAAGTCTTAGAGCATTAGCCTTGAACCGAAGAGCCGAGGGACAGCACCCAGGCAGAGAGTTTAAGCCCCATGACCCATGACTGACCAAAAAAAAAATTCATGGACTTTCATGCCCAGGCTGGCTTTGAACCGTGGGCCACCGGCTCCTGGCCAGCCCCCCTCTTTTTTGCTTTTTGTTTGTGGGTTTTTTGCTGTTGAAACAGTATCTTGCTGTGTGGCTTCAAACTTAGGATCCTCCTGCCTAAGCCTCCCAAGCACTGAGATTACAGGCATATAACATTACATCCAGTCTC